ACAGCTTTTAACAGTACAGCTTAATATTTCAATATGAATGTTAACTTACACAGCATAAGCTGTATCATTGTTATAAAAATGTCATGCTATTCATAATGAATTAAGAATGTATCATTTGAAGTGTCACCTGTAGAATAAATTAACACCATGGTACAGTAGATCTTCTCATAAGGAAAACATGAGTGTCTCCCTCTAAAACTCGGTGTTGGCTACAGTGCTCAACCAACAAAAAGTCCCAGACTCTGTTCCTCTATTGAAAATAAAACTAGTATTTCATCTGTCACCAAAACTTCCCTTTGAGATACTGGAAAGGAGACCAAACCAGCTTTTCTGAGCTCACACATCTTTCCTGCAAACATCTTGCTACAGCTGCTTTCTCTGTCCCTGCTGAGGGAATCTTCAGTGTAGCAGGAAAGAATTTCAGGCCAGAAAGTTAATAAAAGCATTGAATATCTTTTACTGTTTAAATGTAACAATATTGAACGATAAGCCATGTGTATTGGACCACTACCAGATATATCTGACAATATACGGACACTCACAAGAAAAGCTCCTGCAGACTCCTCAATAATGCTACTACACATAAATAGTTAAATATGAAAAACAATATATATGAGCACATGGAAAAGGACACAAATGTTAGAATAGAGTAGCTTAAAAGTTATACACATTTTTTCTCTTACAGTCATGCAAATATAAAGTACACTTTACCCAGTCGTACATAAACAAAATCAGTATATATGTTCGCCATCTATACTAGTTTCTCAGCTGGTGGGTTGCGGTTTTCAGTAGGTCATGGAGTGCATGGTTAAAAAAAGATTATTGCCACCCCCTCACCCCCCAGCTCCTCAACATCATTTTACTGACCAAAGAATGATGTAGATCCCAAGGCTTAACCAGTAGTGAATCACTGATCTAGAAAGAAATCAATTATATCACTCTTTAGGTTTTTCTAGATTGTGCTGTGTGATTATATTGACTTTCTTCGAAATGAAGTGAAATGAATTAAATTCATCTTCCCGCTCAATTCTAATTCTAAATCAACATCCCGCAGGGTGAGGTCAGTTCATTTCAAATTCCAGTTCATCAATGGAATGGGGCACAAATCATACTCTGAATTATGTCCTATGACGCTAACAGCACACCTTAAAATGCAATCCATGGGATCCCCTTAAGTGGGCCTTTTACTGGGTACCAGCAAGGGACGTAATCTACCACTAGGTAGCAGTAAAGTTTAAATTTTTAATTTGTAGGACGCAGGTTTAGCTCTAGCTAGTCTACTAATTAATTGGGCATGATAGATCAATTATGAGACACCCAGGACTTAGTTTCCATTAGCAGTGTTTACCTGTGCTTAGGCTTAAGATTATACGTATTACCATGACAGAATGTGAGTGATCAGGACAGGCCGCATCTGGCCAAGCTTCAAAGGCGTAGCATTGAATAATTATAATAACATACCTTTCTAATCGTCGACAGGTAATAGTGAGTGATTGGCTTTGTGTCTGTTATTCTTCATTCTCATTTCTCTAAAAATGTCCTTGCTCTAGCTACAATACCTACATTTTTCGATTATGAAGGGATACTTTTAAAAATCATAACCTAAAAAAATGTCTAATATAATATCAATGCTGAAGCAACCTTTTAATTTTTTATTTTCTAATGTGTTGATAATTTCATACGTATTTTGCTTATGCTCTTTTGACCTATAGTTGCGATTACTTGAGTGAACGTATAAGATTAACTTTATTGGTCCCAGGGGGACATTCTGACATAACAACAAAATAGTTGACTATTTATATGACAATCTAAAAGTAGGTGTTTTGGTCTTATATAGCAGAACGGTTAAATCAAAGAGCTGGGAAGTTTAATCAGGGCAAAGGATATAATTTTAATAGGTTCAGCTCATACTTTAGTTATTACAAATATTTGTCCCAGTGTTTTTAACTTCGGTTTGTTTTTCTTTCACTTCCCAAATGAAAAATATAATGTAACATTCAGCTCCAAACGATGGGAGCAAATGTAATATTCATGAACAGCTCAGCTCTGTGACCTTGAAGATAAAAAGAAGAAAAAACTGCTTCTTCTCAGTTCAAACCACAAAGTCTGCTACTTTCGTCAGTAATTCAGCTGAAACGTTATTTCGTCTTCTCTGTGTCTGAATGAAAAATATTTGTATAAAGGCAGGATGCTAACATTTGCGGCTTTTCTTGCAATAAAGAGGATTTATTTGAGTCCCAATGAATGTGTTAAATTCTTTGCCGTTAAGCAGAAAAAGCAGCAGCCCTTAGCAACAGGACGAGTTGCTCGAAAGGCCAAGTCCATTTCTGGAGGTTCAAGGGTACATTTTGTTTCTTGTTTTGGTCCCCTTTGTGTGTGTGGGGTGGGGGGGGCGTATCTGAGTGTGAGAGGCAGAAACCGCAGTAGCGCAGAGATGAATAAGAGCCACTGGCAGCTCCTTTCTTGTAACAGTCTTTCTCGTTGGTTTATTTCAGTCGTTCATTCCTTTGTGGAGCTGTGTGAAGCTTTATAAATCTCATTCCGCGCCGCAGCGTGAGGACGTACGGAAGCCTAATAAGGAAGCCCCCCTCCCCTTATTTAGCATATGACCTTTTAATCGCGGCCATGAGGGGCATGTCCTTTAATTGAGCTTCCTTTCTGAAAGCACTGTTGTTTTCATCACTCCGGACAAGAACAAGAAACAGCCTTTCTGTCCAGATGTAGGCCAGAAATACAACAGGCCATAATTGAATTTGTTGCTCTCCAATGAAATGTTGTTTAAATATAGACAACGAAGACAAAGATTTGTTTCTAAATTATATATCATTGGAGGGATAATCCTAATCAATCACATTTTAATAAGTCAAAAAGTGTGGTGATATCAACGTATGGAAAAACAGCTGAATTATATAATCCAGAGTCCATCATCACATGAAATAAAAATTCTCTCATTTCCACAAGTGGATGGATGTGGCCAATTGTTCCCCACTGAGGCATGAAGAGGGAACAGAGATATGAAGATATGGAGAAAAGATTTACTCTGGGGAGCTCATCTGGTTGAGGAATTGAGAGACACTGATGTTAACTGGTCGGTCTAGAATACAGAGGTTACAAGGACACACATAGTCAATTGGAAAGAAACGGCCTCTTCTGACATGACACACAAAGCTGTTGTTTCCAGATCTGTGGACCTCGTGGGCCAGTTCTGTGTGGGGTCGTCGTCTGTCTGTGTCATTCTCTTCCTGCTGAGGACAGAGCTCTGCATGGAGCGTGAGCAGAGCCCATCAGCACGAGGGTGACAATGTTACCAGGGCTGGAATGCCCAAGGCCCCTGTCACCAAGCACCCGCTGGCTCTGGGTTTGATCTGCTCAGTCGAGTCCATGTGGATGAAGGTGACCTTGCAGCTCCGCTTAGAGGTGACAGGCCAGGACACTTCTCTCCCTCTGAGTGCTGTTCTTTGTTACCGTTATGCTTTGCTCAACTCATCTGACCTTCAGCACTTAGAGCTTACACTCGGGGTGCAGTCTGTTGGGTACACCTACTTGTTAACGCAAACAGTCTTTTCCTCCAAGTGAGCCATGTGATGCTGTTGAATACATACAGCACACAGACGGGGTCAAGGGGTTCACTTACTGTTTGGTTAAACATTAGAACAGCTATGATTCACAGTGTCAGCAATTCTGAAGCTGGCCTGATTATCTGTGCTAGACACGGTGGCTCCACCGTCTCAGAAACAACTCAGATCTTCACGCACTGTGGTGTCTGCAGTTTAAAGGGAATGGTGTGATAATCAAAATAACTAGTCAGGGACAGTTTTCTAGGGAAGAAATACCTCGTTAATGACAGAGGTCAGGAGAGAATGGTCAGGCTCGTTAAAGCTAACAGGAAGGGCACAAGAGGAACAATAACAGCTCGATAATGATGCGCAGAATGGCCTCTCTGAAGGCACAGCAGGTCACCCCTCTTCTGAAGGAAAAATGAGGCTTACTTAGTACTAGTTAGGTGGCCATTGTGTTTATTTTCACACTCGGCTTATAAAAGTTATGTGATAATCTGCAGGTGCTCCAGAAGGTGTAATCTAAATCCATCCTTGTTTCAAAGCAGGTTTGTCCCTGTGACGTCTCTCCTCTCCATCTGCTCATCCTGCCATCAGAAGCAGCACCAGCAACTGACTGCCATCACATGCCATCAACGGAATTGAACTGAGGTGGTTCAATTTTTTTCAGAGTAACAGCCACTTCACCTGTGTGAATTACACTTGGAAATTGACCCAGAAACACACACATGTACAGAGTCACACAAAACTCTCTACCTGACAGTTTAATGCTGAAGAGAAAGCTGTAACAGAGGACTTTGTTATAGCTGTGTTGTGGAACAAGTCAATGGCACTGAGATTCAATTCAAATGCAAATTGGCTGACATGTATTACAGGACCTAAAGGGTTAATCAGCCCGTATCTGTTTGCCTTATTGTGCATTTCAAAGAGATAAACTTTCCTTTTTCTGATATGAGGCTGTGCCATTAAGCACATAGAGGCAACATAGCAGTTCTTTTTGCAAAATTCCCTGCCGGCACTTTAACGCATGTGTCAGGTGGGCAAACAGGTTTCAGGTCTGTTCCAAGGGTGGGGGGTGGGGGTACGAGAAAACTGGCATGCAAAAAGTTGTAATTAAATCAGCGAAAACACCAGTGACACTATTGTGAGCTAAACTGGTTCTCCGCAGTTTTGTGGTTTTTCCCCAGCCAGCCCCACCCCTCCTCATCTCTAGGGTGACTGTCCCACTGCTCTATTGAGAGCTCTCTCATACCACATCACTTGTATTGGGGGGGGGGGAGGGGGGATGGAGCTTTTCATTTCTTTGAGGGCAACAATAGTCTTTGTCCCCAATCTCCCACCATTCTCATTGGGGTTACCAGAACAGGGTTGGGGGGGGAGGGGGGGGGGGGGGGGGGGGGGGGGGGGGGGGGGGGGGGGGGGGGGGGGGGGGGGGGGGGGCTGGTTTTCCATAGTAACAGAGACAAAACACACTGGGATGAGTGAAGCAGCGAAGAGGACAGGCGAGCTTCTGTCCCACATAGAAGGTAGATATCTGCTCATATGAGGGAGAAGAGATCTGGGAACATGAAGACTCATTGGGAAGGGAAGTTATTCTGAAACAGCCTGCGGCTTCCAGGGGGAAAAAGAGGGAAACAGAGTAAGACAAGAAAGTGTCTGAGAGCAGAGACAGAGGACGCATTCTGACTCAAGAGGGAGGAGGCAGAAACTGAGACAACTTCACCACCACTGCATCAGGACAGAGGAAAAAGGCAGCACACCACACGCGAGCGCTCACCCTGCCCGCTGGACCCCAAAGGCAGCACCATGAATCCCGAAGCCCAGTACGACGACACGGTGTCCACCATGCTGCTGGAGAACATCAAGAACAAGCTGATCCATGCCTTCAGGGCTAACGGAGAGCCTCTGCCCGCCGGTGGGTCAGGTGTCGACACAGTCAGCATCTTTAAGAAGAACTTCCAAGCCAATGAAGAGCTAAGAAGAGCCAAAATCGATGGAGCAATAAGCTGGCTGAGATCAGAGCTGGTAGGTCTGCAGCTGTTCATAGCAGTGCGCTTCTCAGCTTTGACTAGTTTCCCCAAAAAAATTGAGAAACATCAATTGAAATATTTTTTGCATATGAATTTTTCTTCAGTCTATAATACTGTCATTTTGTTACGGAAATGCAGTGTAAATGAATATCTGAATAATATTATGTCTTATTTCTGATATAATATTCAAAAAGTAATTATGAGTAAGCTTTATTCACATTTGTCGATAGAGCAGAAAAGTAAAGATATAAGTGTAACAAATTCCTTAGAAATTGTTTCTTGGGTCGTTTTAGGCTTCTTCATGAAGTCCTGGTTATGACCGGTAAGTTTAGTTAGGGATAGTTATTTATCCTTTCTACGCATAGCAGTTTCACAGGTCAGCATTCCCGGATTTGTAACGTGATGCGTTGTCAGCTGTGGTGTGTTGTTGTAGAGGTCAGGAGAGCAGGCCGAGTCCTGTGCATGAACCTGTCACCTTTCACATGCAGCTGGAGATGCGATCGCAGGACCAGCAGCTGGCCAGGACACTGCTGGGCCTCAACAGCGAGATCCAGAGGCTGCGGAGGGAGGGCGTGCCCCCAGCACTGCAGCCAGAGGGCAGAGAGGGCAGAGAGCACATATAACCTCCAGCGATGAGAGGGAGAAGCCAAGGAGACCAGCCCCTGGAAGCAACGCAGCTGTTCCTGTGTCGACCCCTCGTCGTGACGCAACGCGGAGCAGATTACCGCTGTGCTGCTGACGGGGGTACAGCATGACTCGCTGCAGGTCTACGGTCTCGCTGCAGATGTTGCTCTTTTTTCCAGCTGTCCTGTGATTTGTCCCTGGGTAATAACCCTGAGGTTTGCTGCCAGCGATGGGCCCAAACGTACCGAAAAGGAGATGTGTAAAGCTGCGGCACATCTAAGAGCCTTTTTAGGACCTTCCTTAGAAAATGTGTGGTGTGTGTGCGTCCTGTGCTCTGCTGCAGTGACCAACCACAATATACACTGTAGAACAACGCGCAGATTCCCGTACATATTTCTGTTCCATGTCGTGTTAGAAATGCCAAGAACGCGGTTCTGTAAATCCTAAACCTGTGAGGTGCTTGTAGGATACAGATGTATTTTTATATCTGAATAATGCTTTGAGAATTGTAACAAAGTATTACACACCATGCCTTATTGTGTTGTATAAAAAAGACTGAACCATTGACAGAATCTCCAGGTGTTCTTTTGTTCTCTTATTCTCTTTATGTTCACCATCGCTCACTTCTGATCGCTTTTATTTATGTGTCATTGTCGATGGGCCGTAGACACTAGGTTGTGTAAGCATCCTTCCTGTCGTCATGGTGAAATGGGGATTAAAGGAAAAGGCTAGGGGATACAGTGTTTTGTAGCGTTTATTACTCAGCTGTAGCATTCCACAATGAGCGGCCTGTCTGCCAGGGGTTACATAAGGCTGTGGACGGAGATCCACTTGTCGCTTCGGGAGGGAAGGATTTACAGACGGTCAGGTCGGCGAATGTTTCACGCGGGCTTGGTTTTGTGGGTTTTTTTTTCTGTGGTGAAGGGTGGTGTGAATTACGGTCTTCAGAGGGTCACACACACAAAAAAAAAAATCATGTTAAAATGTAACATTAACAGACTTTGTGAGATGCGTAGGAGGAACACATAGACATTCACATGAAAAATGATAATGAATATAACAGCTCAGATTGTTGGCAGTTTCTGCAAGACTTTTGCCCTCAGTCTGACAACACGAAATCTAATATCGGTCTAATATCCAAATAAAGTCTACCCAAAGTGTAAAATCACATTAACACGTTGTCATTTGACATTACAGATCTGATCATTGATGACGCTTTTTCATAGCGTTTTGGAAAGCCTAGCACACTTGTGCCACGACTAATGCTGGCTATTGACAAGCGATCCCTCCGCGCGACTCCGCACTATCGGCACATGTCCTGGTACTCCACCACAGGGCTGCGGGACAAACAAGCACCTTGAGTTATGCTCCACATTTCACTCTGGGGGCCCTTTCAGTTGGCCGCTGGAAACCAGGCTCCGGGCGCGCACACAAAGCGCGGCTTTGTGAACGGAAGCCGCCACGGCACAATAGCGCAGCTCCAGTCATACGGACTCTTGTAAGTGATGGCCTGGTGTGGAACATCTGATACTATGTGTTTTTTTTGTGCTCCGGCACCCTCTACACTGTCCTATCTATCGGTCTCACACAGAGACTCTCTGTGTTTGTCGTTAAACCTCATGCCATTATGCTACTATTAAATAAGCTACCAGGCTTCAGAGCCGCCCGTGAGCGTTTCAGAGTAGCACGGAGTTGGGAATCATTAAAACCACATAATTTCAAGAAAGGCAATTTTATACCAAATCAAAACCAATTTGGCTACTTTGAAAGAGGAAATAACATTCGAAATTTGCATGGACATTCCTCTTAAAACCATTCTGAGGGCTCCTACGATGATCTGTTCCAGATGGCAAGCTGCCCGTCAATTGGGTGAGAATGGTGATGAAAAGCATGTTCATAGCTCATCTTTCAGTTATGCTCAACAGGCAGATTGTATTAACATTTTAAATAAAAGTGCTGCTGAGATTTTTACAGTTCGACCAAATTTACTGCACTCCCACTACTGCTAAATCAGTGTTTCCCAATCCGGTCTTCTGAGACCCACAGACAGTCCATGTTTTTGCTCCCTCCCAGCTCCTGGTAGGGAGCAAAAATGTGGACTGTCTGGTAGGAAGATCATTGGGAGCAAAAACATGGACAAGATGAGGGTCCCTGAGCACCGGATTGGGAAACACTGCTCTAAATCAATCACACCATCCATAGATGTTCTGTGACATTCTGGTTGTTCAGCACGATGTCAGAGCTGGGAAATGCTGGGCTCAGGGCACAGAGCTTCTCCGGCTGATGGCCCGACCCAGCAGGGATTCCCGGTAGCACAGGGGCACGCTGGCGGAGGCGTACGGGCCACAGCCCACCTTCCAGCAGCGATATGGGATGGCAAACTCGCTCCCGGAGTCCCAGCTTTTGGCCTCCTCCTCTTCGTCCAGCTCCTCTTCCTCCTCCTCTTCCTCCAGCTCCTCCTCTGCTTCAGCACACTCCAGCTTCAGCTCCTGGATCCCCGCGTGCAGCTCCATCAGCTGCTGGATCAGAATCTGATCCTGAGAGCGCATCTCCATCTACGGCACAAAGAAACACAGTGACTGATATCATTACTGCGCTATTTGATTTATTTGCCCATTTTACATTATATAAAATTATATTATATAAAGTTGTCCATTTGAGTGGCTCCTCCTCCAAACACTGCAAATGGCTATTTTTGCTTGTTTTTCCTTCTCTTCTATTTTGTAGGTGTTGGACAAAATAACAGAAACAGCACATAAAAAAAGACCTCAAAATGTGTAAGTAACTGTACCAATATTGCCACAAAGGTGATTAATATAAGGATGAATGTCAAACAGTTATGAAAGATGTCTGACATTCAGAACTCCGATACGCAAGTTTCCAAAGCAACATGAGGCATCAATCAGATTCTCAGAAGCTAGAGAGTCAATGTCCAAATTGCAGGTACATTGGTCACAAAAAACTGTGCAATTATTTAAGGTGTGATGGGAAAGGTTCTCAAAAATCACATCCACATGCATAAACAAGACACATAAAGTGATAATGGCTAAAAACCATAAATAGAGTACCCAAAGAACTTCAGATTAAGCACCTCAGTGACTAAACCTCAACAAAAACGTCACAAAGCTGCAACTGACAGCAAGGCTACTGTTTGGAAACCACTTGTATCCAAGGCCAATGCACAGAGTCACGTAACTTGGTGTAAGGAGAACAAAACCTGGAACAATGGAAAAAAAAAATATGATCTGATGAATGGTATTTCACCCTGTTTCCTACATCTGATCAGGTTCATGTTTAGAGACAGTCACAGGATGCCTTCATGCTACAATATCTGCTGGTGTGGGCAGTCATTTTGTGGGAGTCATTATGTCTGATGGTTGCTCAGTACTGAAATCTGATAACCAATGAATATAAATAAGGCCATTTTACAGAGCCAGGTACAGCCTATGGTGCAAACACGGTTTGCTCATAATGCTCCTGTATCTAAGATGGTAACACCTCCATCCACACTGCTACACAATTTCAAGAGTGGTTATGTGAACGGCGGGATGAATTCAATTGCTTTTTCTGGCATCTGCAGACGCCAGATCTAAACGTCTTGGAAGCTGCACGAGAAGCTCTGGAGCGCAATGCAAACTTTTCTTCTTGAAGAACGGTCCCAAAATCCCACTGCACAGAATTCCACGACGGACTGAAGCTATCTTCTTAGAGCTTTTCTTTTGGTTTTAGGGATGCTGGGGGTTTTAATATGTGGCCAAGATACTGAAGCGTATTCTAATTAACACAGTTTTGATTTTAGTTTGTCAGGTCTGTGTTCTATCTTTGACAAAACAGGGCTTTAAATAATTTCTGTCGAGCAGGCTATCATTCAGATGTAAATTCATTTTGCCTTTCCCTCCTATTTATGGGGGTCAGAGGTGGTCTAATTACTTACACAGAGAGAGTAAAATGCCCCAAATTCCAGTAAAACCAGAACCGAATCAGTCGCACAGAAGGAACAAAGGCAAAAAAAAAACTATGCCTTTGATAAACTGAATCCTTTTCTATTCCAATTATTTTGTAAGGAGCAAAGTGAGAATGGGGCTGAGAAGCTTTGCTGTCGACAGAATGGCATGGATTTAAAAAAGGAGAAAACAGGAGCTCCTTCAAGGAAATTTACAGCTTCAGCTTCATGAGGGGGGTGACCCAGACGTCACACGAGTTTCTGGGTCTTCATCAGGGTCCTTCTGCGTCACGGAAACAGATTTTGTCATAATCCAACAACATCGCAACCGGATCAGCTCAAGAATAATTTCTGGTGGGATGAAGCGGGACAAAGCAAATAATTCCTCACAGTGAAAGAGCCTGGTTATCACAGACGATGAGACGTCACAGTCTACCTGCTGCAGGCTGAATGAGTCAAAATGTTATGTGAAGACAGACGTGGCGAAGACGCAATAAATAAGCCACGCAGACAGAGTTCGGTTACGAACGAGCCAACGTCCCATTCAGCGCTTAAAGGAGGGGGTGAGGTTCACAGTCCTTTTAGTGTGGGGGCGTATCTGGTGAAGGGGAAAGACAGGGAAGTAGAAATATCATGTGACTGACCTCAAAGCCAAAAGACAGGATTTAGCTTAGATATGTGAAACAGAAAGAGACTGTTAGTGAGGCATCTAAAGGAAGCAGAACGCAGCGTGTCTCTTCACGGTGACATCAACTTTGAGTTAATTGCCCTAGTGGCAAATAAAACTGCCACCTTGCCCCACTGTTTGCCCTGATTTTCCTCTCCTGTCACAGGGATCAATAGTTCACATTCCTGTAGGTGATCGTTTTTCAGCAGCTGGAATGACCCGACTAACGACCCAGACAGACAGGAAACCTCAGAATACATCACTTAGTCTGCATTTGTACCGAGGGGGGAAAAAAAATTCTTCAGCCATTCAGTTTGTTTCATTGTCTCTATTATGTTTGGTGCATTTCCGTGCTGTAGGCACACAGTTGCCATGACGAAACTGTCAGGTTATTTATTAACGATGGGAAATTAGGCTACTCACCGTACTAACAGTATGCAGCAATATTACCCCCTAGATAACTCTCAGAATGAGTAAAGAGACTCCGTTAGCTTTAAATATGCCACAAAATGATTCTCACTAGGGCTGTAAAAACCAGCAATGTTTAATTGCTGACAAAATACAGTAGAAAGATGAATTAGAAGACAAAGATAATTACAGTATATTTCGATTACCCTAACTCTACATGATTGATTATCACGAAAGATTCTTAATGATTATTATAATAATCAACCATTGGGATTAAACTAAAACTGTATTAATTGTAGCACATGAAAAAAATCAACTCAATTCATACCACGAAATAGACAACACTGATACAATGATCTGTATAGCATCTGTTTTTTTAAAGCAGTAAATGGAATTTCCCCGTGGTACTCCATCCATCTACATTATTGGGTCCAGTCACCCCAGGACTAGTGGGACTGTGGTCCCAGTCTTACCAGTTCTCTCCTCAGCCAGGCCAGTGCACTCTCAATATCTAGCTGGCAGGGGCCACCGTCTTCATCCACAAACTGACCCCCCCTGGCCAAGTCATGCTCCCTCTGGGACGCTCTGTCACTCATTACCGCCGTCGGCTTGAAGTCTTCGAAGGTGGCGGTCTTGCGAGAGAAGTCTCGCAATCTGGTGAGGACCACCTCCATCGTTTTGTGCGGACGTTAAAGTCTAGCTCTTCCTTACACTCTTAGGCTTCGTTGGAACTTTTCTCGGCTGTAGCTAGATACAGCGTTGTCGGGAAATGAAACGCTAGCCAGGTCCCTGCGTCCCGGCACCCGGACCGCTCACTGTCACGCTGCTGTGTGGTCTACGCTGCTGTGTGGTCTGCGCCGCACTGGAAACTTAAGGTGACCCCCTTTTTGTTTTTTCACTGCTTAACATTGTGAAACTGCCGTTAAGTGTGCATGTGCGTGACGTCACCCCATTAACATCAGACCACTCTGTTTACCATTTTACTGCTTTTTAAACACACTGTCCTCCCTCCCCGGCTGGGAGTAAGAGGGAGGAGCGGATGGAGGGACAGAAGAAGGGCAGTTTCCTTGGCTACCCAGTCAGGGTTCCTGCTGAAGACAGGTCAGGGCCTGGAGAGCCCTTGGTTTTCATATCATGTCCCAGCAACAAATAAGGACATTGAGATTGAGTCAACAACTCTCTCCCTGCCTCTTAAGAAATGCACACCGTGTATTGAATGTACTTCAGTTTGCTGAAACAAATTCTATGGTATCTTTCTTATAACAATATACAGTACTGTGCAAAAGTCTTAGGCAGTCACAGAAAAAAATTTAAATGATCATCATGTTAATGTAAAGCTATGATATTACAGTGTGTCAGCTTAGCCATTTCAAACCTCTTCTAAAGTCACCCCAGTATCCAATATAGCCATGTATTTTTGACTTTACCACTAGCATCTGATATGGCTAATCAATGTCAAAGTGACTTTGCAAAACTAGTTCAATTACGGAATTAAGTGAGCTGGTGATTAAATTTAATAAATCCATGGAATGGCTGGTTTCCCCTGAGGAGAGCTTTAGGAATCTCAGCTGTGTTCATCTTGCCATCCGATAAGATTTCAGTAACTTTTCGGAGAACAGGAGAAATTCCTGTTAGTTTTTATTGATTTACTCATAATTTGCGCATGCTCTCATATTAAATGGTGTTTTCGTTCTGAGAAAATATACACTTACTACCCAGATAAATAGCTTTAAACATTTTCTTTGAGTGCTTATGACTTTTCAGTAAAAATGAAGTAGCTTTTGTGCAGCCAAAGGCAGAAGAGACTAATCATTAAATCATTAAAGTAGTCAGCCTTCCGTCAGCTAAGGTCCCTGTATTCCCCTTTCTGATAGAGATTCTGACTCACACAACCTCTGAACCCGTGTCGCGTTGGGGCCCTTTTGTGACTAATCAGCTCCCTGTCAGTTTGGCCTCTCGGCCCGGTGCCTAGCAACTCACACAATACAGGGGCCTGACAAGGACAAGAAAGGTTGGTAACATTTGGATCGCAGGCTAAATTGCGACCAAATTAGCTTTTAGATCCTATCCATGAATTGCACGGGAAAAGCCATAAGCAGACAAAGAGCTTTTTTAGTGCTTTGGCACAGGTGGAACCTCACTGCGTCATTAGATCCTTTTACGTCAGAGGAGAGTGAGATTTTGAGTTGCACATCACACCCTGGAAGGTCGTGTTTCCTCTGAAGAACTTCGCAGACTCCTGTTAAACCGAGCATACAGTCAAAACATCACATGTACACGCAAGATATGATTATTTTCCTTTAAAGAACTGAAAATGAAAGAAAAGATGACACCGCTCTTAAACTGGATGTAGAAAAATTGCGTAATTTGTATAGACTGCTCTTAAGCCGATGTTGAATACCGGAGACTTTTTAGAGTACATTTCTCCAGAACATCTCTCTGGGTCTTCAGGGATCCCAGTGGCATGTTCATGGTTTGATTAAGCCAGTCCATCATGTAAAAGGTTGTCCTCTCCCTTTTTATACTGAACTCTTTCAAGCATTATGGTCTTTTCCCGTGTACTGGGTCCCCTCATCATATTTCAGAAATAAGAGCTTTAATCTGGTAATTTATGCTTCAACTGAAAATTCAAGCTTGATTGTTTAGTTTATATATCAGGTAATTCATTTTCTTTATAGTGCTCTAATCTCTGTTGAATGATCTTCAGAAAAATCCTGCTGTCTACGTCACATAAGGGAAATTGAACACTGCTCCTGTGTACTGCTGCTTTTGGTGCCAAAACACCGAATCTCCTTCATACGCTGCATTTGCTGTGACAGCTATATGTAAAAATTTTGATTTGACTTTTATTGGAAGCAAAATATAAAGTGCAGAAGCCGTTTCTTAATTAGGCGAATGGATTGCGATTTGAGGTACTTTGTCGCCACCCAGTGGAAGTTATCTTTATTTGCCATTAAATTACCAATACTTTTAAACATTGTAATATTATAAGAAAAAAACACCATATGGGATATTTTACTTTAAAAAATTTCAGCGGAGCAGGAAGATTGGTTAATGGGCTGAGTGTTTCATGAAGTGAGCGGGTGAGGTCGCAGGTCGGGTCGGGTTGGGGAGTATGCATTGGTTCAGCATGATGTCATGCCCACAACATGATTGAACACCTCAGGATCCCTGTTGGCGACCCCCCAAGGATGACATGTGATCTGGCCCTCCGGAAATGGCCATCTAACTGCTGCAGCCAGGTGTTTCTTGGGTGTCCCCTTGGCCTGGTCCAGCTGCTCGGGTCCTCAGCAATGAGGATCCTGAGAGCCAGATCACCATCAGGGAAATACACCGAATAGTCATAGTGTGGTAACTCATGCTCCTCATAATGCAGATTATGTTCCCCGTTCGGGACTTCCTGAGCTTCTGCTCATTCGACACAAATTCAAACCAGCGCTACCCAAGGACTCTGAAAAGACGCAGCACCAAATGAGTCCAGTCTTCATCTGAGGTTACTGGACAGTGTCTCACAGCCATGCAGCAGGACAGGGAGCAGCAGGACTCTAAAGACCTGGACCTTCATCCTCTTGCAAAGATATCAGGAGCCCCTTTCCAGCCACCTCATTACCCCCCATGCTATCCCAGTCCATCTACTGACTAAACAGACCTGAAAGTCACTGCTTAGGTAAGTCTCTCCCTCTGCCGACATTCTCTCCACAGACAGACACACTGATGACGGATGTGCCCAAGAGATAATTAAAGGTCTGGATATTGGTTTTGATCCTGGACACTCTCAAACCCAGATACTCAGACTCCTTACTTAGAGCCCTTATCAGAGGTTATATAGATTCTACGGAAAATACAGCATCTTCGACAAAGTCGATATTGGTAAATCTTTCTTTATCAAAGAATGCCACACAGCAGCTGTACCCCACGACCCTGCCGAACAGCCAGTCCATGCAAGCATTGAACAGATTAGGAGCAAGAACACACCCCCGACAAACCCAAGAATCCACTGGGAAGAACGAGAGGCTTTTCCTCCACTTTGCACAGCATTCATGCTACCGGTGTACAGGCCGGCCTTGACATCCAGTAACTTCTGTGGGATCTAAGGTGTCCCACAGGGCAACTTAATCTAATGAGTCGAACTTTATATTAAAATTGACAGAGGCTGCAAAGACACCCTGTCGAGACTCGTGTTTACGTTCGATGAGGAGCCTCAGTGCCAGGGTACGGTTCATGGTAGACGCTTCTTAGGCGTTCCCAGACTGCTCCGGTCACTGGTAGGCGAGCAAGTGATCATGGATCCTGTTGAGGACGGCCTTAGCAAGGACCTTACCCAGCACTGAGAGCAGTGTTATCCCCCAGTATTTGCCAAAATCCAGGCGATCACCCTTCGCTTTCCAGATAGGGAAAAGAAATTTTCCATTCTTTTTCCATTTTCCACTCAATCGGGTTGATGCCTGTCTCCCGAATAGAAGCAAAATTCGCTTTTCTGTGCAAGGAGAACAGTCTTAACACCAGCCTGGAGAAGCTCACCTGGATGCCACAGATCCCTCTGGCCTTCCCTACCCCCCAGCTAGTGAGATTGGGGGGTTCACAGCTAATCGGAGGAATAGCCTCAAGAACTGCAGACCCAGAGACGTCCGACGTCCAAGCCTGAGCATCAGCATTAAAGAGCTGCTCAAAGTAGCCGACCCAGCAGTTCACAACCGCAGTGTCATGCGTAAGGACCGTTCCATCACCCACCCTGACTGTGACTCTCTGAGGAATGGATTCAGACACATGTAATGTTTTGATTGCTAGACCACAGATGCCGTGTCATTTGCTCACAGATCCATCTAACAAACACCTACTTTTCTGTCCTCAGAGCCTTTGCAGCTGCCCTTCTCAGTTCAAGCCATGCACTGCGTCTCCTCTGGATAATATCCATGGTGCCCTGCAAGATGAAGCACCTCCTTCAGGAAACACCAGCAACACCAACACAACCCTCAGCAACCTTCAGGGTCGTACCACGGTAGGTCTCCCGCATCACATTAGATTCAGCAGTCACACTCAAGTCTGCAAGTTCCTCACACAAACTGTGTGCAAACTCATAAGAAACAACCTGATCTTGGCGTCTGGCCAAGTCCAGCCTCATTCTCCTCGTACATGATACCACAGTGAACCTGAAGCTATATAGCAACAACAACAAGTCTGTGGTCAGAATTCACAAACTGGGTACTTCTGTAGACCCCATAGTTCTGTAGGAGGCTCCAGCATCTCCCCACAAGGATGTGATCGATCTCCTTTGTTGCACCACCAGTATTGGAGTACACCGCCCAACAATGCAGCTCAGGGTGCTGGAACCAGGATCCAGTGACCCTCAGCCCCTGACCTTTTGCAAAGTCTAGGATCATGGAGTCACTCTCACCCCGATCTCCAGACCCGCGGGGACCGACCAGAGGTGGAAATTTCAGGTCCAGAGAGTACAAATCCAGACCAGGACTTTGTTTCAACCAACCAGTGGAGTACTCTGTAACTGTGACTCTTTATGCTCAACTGGTTGGTTGAAACTAAATCACGGTCTGGATTCATACTTTCTGGACCTGAAATTTCCACCTCTGGGACCGACACAATCCTCAAAGGCAGCGCGGTCAGTGCCTGTGGTCACACTGAAGTCACCCATAACCAGAGGAGTGTCACCTCGTGGGCACCCATCAACAGCCAAGCGAAGTTGCAGATGAAATGTTCCCCAGTATATCACTCATTGCAGCTGGAGCATAGACAGAAACAACAGACAAGAGACCTAGAAAGTGCCTTTATCTAAGTCTTGTGATACACTTCAAAATGAGTGACATCAGACACCACCGGGAGGAGCTGGTCTACCACAGCAACAGCTACTCCCCGAGTACGGCGGCCATCAGAGCGACCAGACCAATAATAGGT